TACAAGAATTAACGCAATATTAATTATAGCAATAGATATATGTCCTATGGAAAAGAGTTATACAAGTACTTAATGTTATTTTGACACAAACTTACGATCCCGAGAGTTTGCCTACTTGATCTGGAAGACCCCGTATAACAGTCTTAGAAAATGGTCTCATAAGACTTGGTACTTGATATAAGACATATCTGAATCTGGCGTGGTTGGGAGAATATAGGCAACCAAGTGTTTATCCGTTCAAAATAGCAACTTCAAATTATTAGAATGCTTAGACATACCTACACTAAATTAATAAGAAAGTAGGTAAAAATATTTAAAAAAAGCGTATAAATTCTTGGTTTATTAATGGCTGTCATTAATCAATACCTGAAATGAGTAAACATACTTTCAAGACCACTACCTACGGAAAAAAGGCTTCCACCGTTTTTACAAATTTGTCTTCAAAAAAATCTCAAAGAGTACAGGTTTAGAGTGTTGAAATAATATCAAAAAATCTGTAAAACTGTCAGGTGGATATTTCATATAGTTTATAGATACGCCTCGAATTATTTTTACAAAATAAACCATTTATCACATAGAAACTGATAAAAAGATACAATTTTTTTTTCACGCAATAGTTTTTCACGCAAACTTAAAATCTCAACATGTCAGGAGAATTTAGATCGATGGTTAGGCAAAATGACATTTTGAATAATCACTTCCACTGCACTACATATTATGAGCAATGTAATAGTTTTAAATTCTACATCTAGAACAGACCGGAACTAAATAGTTGCCTCTAAGGCAATTAGATTAAAGCTGCTGCGCACGAGTACGAGTTGGAACGCCCTTTCCTAATTCCAAAAAAAGTCACTCCTTTCCCCATGGTTCTACAATTCCATACTTGCACGTTGTTGAAAAATGCAAGCAGATTATTGAAAAATAGACCACGAAAATTCTTACTTTTTCCAGTACATTTTTTATTGTCATGCGGCAGTCACCAAGTCTTGAGGTAGTCATAAAAACAACCAAGAAGCAAGAATACAATATTATTTCGATTTATTTATGTGTTTATATTAGGCCAGGAATTTAAAATAAAAGTAGGCCTTGATTGACTTGAACTTCTTTAGTAATGAATAGAGTTGGCTGAAATATGCCGGGGGACATAGGCATACGCATCAAAATATAATACATGTAATAAAATATTGAATATAGTAACAAAGGCAATACATTGTCACTTTATAATAGGCATGTGCGAGATCTCGAAAATCTCGAGATCTCGATCCTCGAGACGAGAAACAAAAATCGGTTAGTCGAGATTTCTCTAGATCTCGAGATTTCTCGAGAATCCGAGATTTCTCGAGATTTCGAGATACTTGAGATCTCGAGATTTCTCGAGATTCCGAGATTTCTTGAGATCTCGAGATTGCTTGAGATCTTAATATTTTTTTAGATTCCGACATTTCTTGAAATCCTAAGATTTTTAAAAATACCAATATTACTCAAATCCCAAAATGCATTTACTATTTGAAATTTCCCGGAGAATATTCAAAATATGAAACTTAACTGACACCGACGCTCGATCGATACAAATTAAAATCGAACTCAAAATGTTAAACCAAAGTGTAATAAGTTTTCTTTTATTTAATGTGTTCTGCTAGCTGAACTTTTAAATTTAAACAACTGTAAGTATTAATACATTAATTTCACCTCTTTTTCGAGAAATTTCTATATATCAATAAATCTCGGAATCTCGAGAAATCTCGGGATCTCGAGAAATCTCGGGATTTCGATAAATCTCGACTGACTGAACCATATACCTATGTATGTAAAACTTACTCTCTTAATTAGCTTGACGAAGTAGCTTGGTTAACAGTACTATCACGAACTGGAGAAGATTCGTAAAAAAATTCTGGCATCAGATAGGTTTCTATAGTTGCCTCCGAAAGTATTGTTCGCTGTGGTGAAAATATTGAGCCATTCAAAAAAAGATCATCAAATCTGGCTATGAACAGAGAGATAGAAATTTTGTTGTTGTCAAACTTTTGAATGGCTATCAGAATTGTAAAATAAATAATGGAATTCATTTATAATGAACAACAGAGGCGTGTTTCACTTGACATTTATTTTGAATTGAATGAACTGAATATATTCGATAAGAGCTATATGGGAAGTTTTTCCAGACCCAGTTATTAATATTTTTTTACTGATGAGGCTTAGTTCCATCTTTCGGGCTACGTTAACTCTCAGAATATGAGACTTTGGAGTGCAGACAACCCTCACTTTTATATTGAAACTCTACTGCACTCACAGAAAATTGAAATGTGGGCAGCTGTGAGCAGAAGAAGGATAGTTGAAACCATTTGTTTTTAACGGAACACTGAATGCAGAGGTTTAGGAAATCTTAACACCTTTTGTACAAATGCTGCATGGCAAGATGGAGATTGTGCGCATACTTCTAGGGATCAATTAATTAAACAAGCGAATTCTTCGAATATAGGATAATTAGTTTGAACACGCAGACTATATTCCTCCCTAGATGTTGCGATTTGACCCCTGTGATTTTTTTCTCTGACTTTATACAAAAAAAGTAATGTTTGAAACTCCCATTGGCCATATGGACGACCTTCAGCAACGTATTGTCAATAAAATTGAAGAACCTAATGGAACACCGTGGATACTTTATCGATTCATTTCATCATTTTCTTTAACAGATTTCGACATCTACGAGTACTGATGTAATTCAGGCATAATTAAAGTACTCTTAACTCTAAAATAAACTAACGGATCTGTAGATGCACTATAACATTTTTTTCTTAATTTGGTAAAACCGGTGTCTTTCTTTAATACACTTTCGAACTTTTCCCTGGCTGACGAATTTTTAACTGGTTCATTCATTGCGTCACAATAGCTTGTAGTAGCGATTTTACTCCGTCCACTATTTGTAGTGACTCCGCTAAAGACAACGCGCTGTTCTGCAATTTTTGTATGGCGTCATAAAAACCTTTATAATTACTGTAAATAGTTTTTAAAGCTATTTTGGTCTGGCTCTCCTTAATAGCTGCAGCTTTGACAGGATTGAATTGTAGAATAACAATTTTTATTTGCTGGAAATGTTCGGCATAATAAAATGCGGATTTCGGAGCGGAGTTTTGGGAAAACCGGGAAACGTTCCCAACGAGTAAGGATCGGCTGTGGCGGTTCAGTAATACCAAGACATTTGCTGTGAAACTCGCGAAGAACACTTTTTTGTACCCCCTAATAATGCGTCGAAGTTGGGAAACATTGTCTAATATTTTCTGCCACAAAATGTAAACCATGTACTTTCCACGTAACATGCAAAAACCTGCAACCGCGTTCTGAAAGCAAACGGCTTATTGGCTGCATCGTGGGGGCACCATCAGTCATAAACAGGCTTCGGCCTATAGTGGTTTTAACCTTGAACGGCTTTTATGAATGGATTACTTCATTCATAATTTCGAAGAGGTGAGTGCGCAGTTAGTCCTGGAACTGAACAGTTTCTGTTCCTGGGATATTTGCACTGATATGATAGACAAAGACCAAATATTATCGGCGAAGTACAATGTGCCTTTTTTGTCCGATAATTACTATTTCAACGAAAATTGCACCGTATTCAAAAATATTAAGGTTTTTGAACATAAACGAGTTATTTTAACCACGTATACCAAAATATAGGTTAAAGAATTGTCACTAATACAAAAATAAGGTTTACATCCGATCAACAGAGATTCATATTTACTTAACAGCCGTTCAATGTTAAAACCACTAAAGGCCGAAGCCTGGTCATAAACATCACCACCTGACTTGTTGACAGTTCAAATTGTTCGAGGATCTCCAACATCACCCTCGTAATTGTGTTGTCATTGCACTCTGCTAGTCTTTTACTAGCTAGTAACAGTGAGCGTGTATATTTTCGAGGGTCCAGTACACGAACTATAACATTTAGAATATAATTTTTTTTACGGTCAGTTGTTCCGTCAATAGATAACCACAGTCATGTATTTTTTAATGCAATTTAGTAAGTCACTGCATACAGTTGGTAGATAGTCACGTAACGTTGTGCGACCTGGTAAAGGTATATCTGGAACGTATTTGTTACAGAACTACAGTTGTTACAGAAATGGTTGTTTATCGAATACATTCAGGCGTACATCACAAGCACTTAGCATTAAAAGTACGTCGCACATAAACTGAGTTCTCAAGGGCATACCTTCTTTTTTGTTTTTATGTTTCACACTATTTATGTAGCGGCTACAGTCGCGTTTGTCCCTACACAGCAGTTTTTCCTTACAGACCAAAAAAGAGATATAAATAAGCATAATAAACAGAATTTCAGAATAGTTATTGTGTAGCCGTTTAACTGACGTTTACCATTTGCTTCGGATACAAATTACGTTAATAAAAAATAATGAAATATGTGAATAATCTGTTATAAGATAATACATTGTAATTAACAAGACATTTTTTTAGTTAGGTATACCTATGGATAAATTTCTTAAAATTAACACACCTCAACCATGTAGCTAATTGAGTAGCGAAAGACTATTGAGAAAACATTTCAAACAAATTGTTTTTATTATAAAACTCAGTTTTAAAAAAAAATATTTTATAGTTTAATATGCATATTACAAAAAATATATATATATTTTTAAAGTTATAATTACATTGATTCTCAAAATGTACGCACTAAGTAGGAACATTTTTTATTTTTAAATTTAGTCGAAGTAGTCAAGATATATTTTATAATATATAAAAAAAAGATCTTATTATATAACGATTTTGTTTCTTTTCTAACTTTTTTTAAGATTTTAAATTTCGGTAAAAAAGAAAAATTACAAGTTTTTAAATTACAAGAGGCATTTTACATTTCATTTAAATACAATTCAATATTGTGGTGAATTGCATTGAAATAACATCATAACATACTCATAAGTAAACTTCGCCAAGTGGGGATCATCACAGGGTGGTACTAGCCCATTATATGTATCTACGCATGTACCGCGGCGATAGCTCAGTGGGTAAAGCGTCAGTGAGAAGGTGCGATATCCTAGAGATTTCTGCGCGGGTTCGAATCCCGCCTGTGGCAATTGGCACATGTCACAGGGTTTGGTTGTGTGTCCTACGTCTTTTCCATGTGTATTCTCCCTTTGCACAGTCGCAATGACTCTTAGAGGGAGAATGTCCATTTCTGTGGTGTGTGTGTGATTATAATAAATAGGCATCGCGGAGGTGAGGATCAAAGCAGATCAGATCTACCGAAATGGGAAATATTAGGCGACATGCGGCTGAGATGGAGTGGGGGACATGAAACTGATTGGCGTTACATTCTAGTACACGTTACGCTGACGCAGTTGGCTTTGTATGTGGGGTAATCGACCGGCGGAGCGATTATAGATTTCAGTTTAAATTATACAGGGTTTGTCCGGAAAGTAATGTCAGTGAGCTTTGAAAAAATGGTTTTTATTGGTTCTATGTGTACAAATCTTTAGAAACTTTCAAAATACATGCCTCCTGCGTCCACACATCGGTTCCAGCGGGTCTTCCACGCATCAAAAGCCGCACGGTAGTCGTTTTCCGGAATCGCCTTTAAAGCGTCGGTGCAACCCTTCTGAATGTTTTTCACCGACCCAAAATGCTGTCCTTTCATTGGCAGGGTTTTGAGGCGCGGAAACAGAAAAAAGTCTGGGGGGGGGGGACATCGGGGCTGTAGGGAGGCTGGGGAACAACGGTGATGCCTGCCTTGACGAGGTAATCGGCCACGAGGAAGCAGGTGTGCGAAGGTGCATTGTCGTGGTGAAGCTTCCAGGATTTTCATTTGTCTGGGCGGACGCGATTCACCCTGCCTTTCAGCCGCTTCAGCACATCGACGTAAAACTTTCCGGTTACGGTTGTCCCCTGCGGAACGAACTCATGATGGACCAATCCCCGGCAATCAAAAAAGACAATCAGCATTGTCTTGATCTTTGACCTGGACATCCTGGGGCGAAGGGAGTTCGACGTGTGCCATTCCGCACTTTGCCTCTTCGCCTCCGCATCGTATTTAAAGACCCAACTTTCTTCCCCGGTAATGACGTCATCAAGGAAAGCGGGGTTGTCTTCGCAGGTGTCCAATATTTCTTGGCAGGTTTCGACGCGCCTCGCTCTTTGATCGTCCGTTAGCACTTTTGGCACGAGCTTCGCGCACACCTTCCTCATTCCTAAAGACTCCGACTCAATTTCGTGAACAATGGTTTTCGTAATGTCTAATGTTTCGGAAATTAAACGGATACTTAGACGACGGTCAGTGTTCAACAAGTCACGCACACGTTTCACATTGTCGTCGGAACTGGAGGTTGATGGCCGTCCAGCGCGGTTCTCGTCGTTGACATCTTCCCGACCTTCTGCGAAGGCCTTGTGCCACCGGAAAATTTGCCTGTCCGAAAGACAATCGACGCCGAAAGCCTTCTTCAACATTGGAATGGTTTCTGCACCACTCTTCTCTAATTTCACACAAAACTTGATCGCCATCCGTTGCTCAAGCGAACGTTGCATTTTTTCTTGCACCGGGTCACTGTAACGACTATCAACGAACGACTGATGCAATCGCTACAACGACCGGTAGCAAACTGACGCTTGTTGGATCTTGTTGCCAGATCTCCCCACCACAATCCCAGCACGTAAAGCGCGGGCTGGCGCGTACAGTCTCGGGAAAAAAATTCACTGACATTACTTTCCGGACAAACCCTGTATACATATTTACATATATGATATGTATGTTCCGAATTAAAAAATCGATATTTTCTATTCCGTAAGTTTTTTGATGCTTGAATTATTTCCGATAGAGACGATTATATTCTGATTAATGTTTAAACATTTCTGTGGTTGTATGTAGTGGGTAGTTTAATGTACTTTTATAGAGACAATATTTTCTCTGTTGTAAATAGATTGTTACGTTTTCGCTTACAGAGCAAATGAATATCAATGTACGACTTGTGCCAACAAATGTCATTTCACCAAGTGGAATCAGCTATACAAGTAACTTCATTCTAATACTTTAACAAGTATTGGAGACCAATACATGATATAGAATTATTTCTTCCATAGAATGACATTCATGGAAAAAGTTCTGCATGCATGGAACGTTCATTTTCTCTGCAGGTGAATAGTCACTGATAGAAAACGCCGTTTAACTCCGGCTCATATGGAACACATTTTACTGAAATATTCGTATCACATCTCAGTACCATCCACAAAACCCAAGAAGTGAAAAATGTACCCACCTGCGCAGTTTTTGAAGGGTTTTGTCAATAGATAACTAGAATTAGTGTCGAAGAGTTTATAGTGTTTGTGTTGTATTATTTGACCAGGTTACATCTGCCACACAGCTCCTGACAAACAGTACAAGCCTCTATAAGGTATGGCACCACTTTGGCGATGTCTACTAGTATGTAATAAGCCAAAAAGCACAAATAATACCAATCACAATAGTACATAAACTAAATACTAATTACAATTGCAAAAAAAAAACACAATTTCATAACCCACCCAATATTGAATTTTGTTTAGATAAAATGTAAAATGCTCCTAACTTGCAATTTCTCTGTTGCCTAGAAATTGATATTTTAATAAACGATAAACGAAACTGTAACTTAATAATATCGATTTACAGCTATAAAATACATATTAACTACTTTCAAAGAAAGAAACATATTACTTGATTCAGATTAAATAAAAAAATATGATGACCTTTTGGAAAACATTGTATGTATATTTCCCATAGCCATGTAATGAAAAATCAAACAATTTAAAAATTGGCCTAAGAGCCCTCGTCTACTATACCTACTCAAATAATTTATTGAAAACTGATACCCTTTTACCTATAACAAACTTACACAAACTCACTTATAAAACTTTGACCGTGTGGGAGTTTGAAAAATTATATGTAACACAATTTTGTATACAGGGTTTCCCATTATTAGGGGGCCACAGTGAACATACATATTCTTTGGATAAAATATTACCATTTAACCAAACTTACTTAGTCCACAAGTTATTGGTAACCAAGATACAGGATGTCAAAGGTATAACTTTAGTTTCGATTTTCGTAAATAACTTCTTTAAAAACATTTCTCACAAAATTTGGTGATTGGGGGCCATTTGAAATCAAATGGCCCCATTCAAAAATTGGGATACATTTGAATTCAAAATAATGTTTGGACAGCGGATAAAGAGTGGATAAAGGTTTTACGTACCCACACCCTACACTACTGTCAAAAGTAAATTAATTGGTTTTTCCACAGTCAGATGTCCCTTATGATAATAAAACCTCTTGCCCAATTTGGTAAAGCAATATTAAAAAATAGTATCTACAGTATTTTTTAAATTTACAACTTTAACACACTGTATATCAACGAAACACATTTTACTTAAGCATGTTTGTGTCAATAGTCTTATTTTGAACGAGAAAATCATCAGCTGCCTATATCGTTAACGGGATATTAATTGTAAATCTCACAATAATGATTTAAATAGGTTGTTGCACTGAACACTTTAGAGGTATCTAAAACGGTCATTCGGACGACATTTAAAATACCCTTTAAATGTCGTCCTTTGGTATACACTATGGTATACACCTTTTCTGTCAATAAATGATGGAAAATTCGATATTTTTAATAAAAACGTAAATATTCTAAAGCGCAAAAAAAATTACATCATTTTTTATGGGTTCAGAATGCTGCAAAAAACGCCCTCTACAATTTACATCAAACTGATGTATTGAAAAACTGACAAATTGTAGTTCTCTCCTCAAAAAACCTCAATCACCAAATTTTATGAAAAAATGTCGTTTTTTAAAGCAGTTATTTACGGAAATCGAAAATAAAATTATAATTTTGACACCCTGTGTCTTGGTTATAATAACTTTTGGACTAAGGAAAGTTTGGTTAAATCGTGCTATTTTTACCAAAGAATCTGTAATTTCGCTGTGGCCCCTTAATAATGGGAAACCCTGTATAATAGGGACAATAGACTACACGACACGTTTGTGTGAGACATAGATGAGTCCTCTTGCATTGTGGCTACCTCCGTAAATACAAATGCACTGCTCTATGAAATTATACAACACTCTCCCGCATAATTTTGTTCATTCTCGCATAATTTTGTCCAACTCGGCGTGGCGTCCTCAGTGAAAGGAAGCTGTGACAGGAACAATTTGGTACATGAAATGCCCCATAATTTTATTTTTCTTTTTAAAATATTTTACTTAAGTTACTTTATATAAAATTGGTAAGGCTTAAATCATTTTAATTTATAGGATTTAAATTTTTATGTTATTTATTTGATATATAAATAATAATTGTGTTAAAGACTGTAAATACATTGACAGAAAATATATTAAATAATATAATACTTTATTTAACACACATTTAAAAATAGCTGATGGCAGTGACAGCTGGTGGAACTTGAAATTCTCATATTTTCATAACGGAACATGGGTGTCCAATTTAGGGTTTGAATAATAGACCGAAGTAGAAGGCTATAGCAGCAAAAAAACTTGAAACGAAGAAAAATTTTAAAAATGAACCATTTATAAGAACCATCTTCACCAGAAAATCTTTTTTTCAGTCCAAGTTATCGAAATTTCAGTTCTCTTTTTAAAGTTCTTTTCGAGACATTTTCGATTTTCTTAAATTCTTAGCCATATTTCTTAAAAATTGCCATAAAACTAGTCATGAATGTAAACGGAAAACTTTAAAAGTGTAATTAATCACTAATTCACTGCTTTCATAGAAGAATATATACAATAAGCGACAGTCTAAATCGTACATAGGTGGATATTAAATACATATTAAATGTCATAGTTAGGCGAATTTACTACTAGCGTCTAGCCAGCACCAGGTCACGGGCAATCCGACCAATCAAACCGAAAAAGAAAAACGCGCATGCTTCTAGACAATTTTACTGTATTTCCTTAAAAACTAAATTTTAATATCAAAAAAAGAATCAAGCTAATTTAGTAAGGTGATTGCTTTAAACCTTTCATATCAAAGTTTTGTGACTTACTGACTTCAAGTTTGCCGCCTTCACCAACGCGGTGAAGGCGGCAAA